TAAAATTAATGTGAAAATACTTTTTGTCAATAATTAATTTCATAATTAATTTTGAAAATATTTAAATTTAAAAATTAAGAAATAAATAAATAAATAAATGTGAATATATGTACTTTAATTAGTAAATAAAATTAATTGTTTTTAATTTTGAATTAATTTGAAGATTCTGAAGGCTCGAATTTTTATGAAAATCTAAATAAATAACAAATAATGAATAGATATGTATAATTATGAGAAATATCATAATTTGACAGAAAATTTTTTTTTTTTTTTTTTTTTTTTTTTTTTTTTTTTCCTCCTAATTTTTCATTCCTCCTAATTTTTCATTCCTCCTAATTTTTCATTCCTCCTAAATATTTAAAAAAAAATAATCTCCATGGGAAACGAAAAAAGAAAACGTGATAAATCGATCAGTTTGGATAGTGAAAGTGATAAAGCACCGCTTTTATCACCAGAACAACTTGAACAAATTTCTCGTAATGTGGTTCAACTTCTTACACCAATAATCGAGACAACAATTAAAACTCTTTTTCAACAATTAAATCAGCAAACTAGCAACAGTCAACAAACTTTTGAACTCAAACAGCAAACATCAAGATGGGGATGTCCCCCCAATCTAATGCCACCAAAAATTCAACAAGCTGCTACAACAATTGAACACCTTCATCAGCCTATATTCGATGAGAAACTCAAGGAACTTTATGAAAAGAAGAAATTCTACGCAGTAATCGAAAGATTTCCTGAATTAGAAAACGAAGAAGAAGACATTAAAGCTATAGAAAAAAACGTTCAGATGGTGGTAAATGACAAAAATTTCAAGGATATTAAGACTTTCGAAGTAAAAAGGCACGGAATTAAGAAGAAAAATAATTACAACCGCATCATCAAAGTAAAATTTTCGACTCCTTCTGCAGCACATTCTTTTATCAATCAATATAGAGCCATACACCAACCTAAATTAGGTGGGCATAGTCCATTCGCAAGAAGGGACTTGACCCCTCCTGAACTACAACTACAAAACTTCCTTAAACAGCAGGTTAAGGAAATCAATCATAAACATGGAAATGGCACTGCATGTTACCGTAATCTTAAAATTTATTATAAAAAGAAAGTGAACTTGGACTAGGATTTAGGGACCTCACAGAAAAATATTCAAAAAAATATAAGCAAATTTAAAAATTTTAAATGCCTTCTTCTAAATATACGCTCCATTAATTCAGATAAAATCGCATATAAATTATTTGAGCTAGAAACTTATCTAAATAAAAACAATATTTATCTCACATTTTTATGTGAAACCTGGCTAAATGATCAAATATCCAGCGAAACTCTTTTAATCTCCGATAACTATAAATTCTTAAGAGTAGATAGAGTTAAAGCTAGAGGCGGAGGTGTAGGTGTATTTTATAGGAAGGAACTAAAAATCGTAACTGTACCAAACCTTTCAGTATCAGAATTTAATCATGAACTACTAACTTTTGATATTTACTCAGAATTTAAAAGAATTAGATTCCATTTAATATATAGGCCGCCTAATACTAAATTAACCGATGATAAAAAATTTTGGCGTCTAATAAAGCAAAAATATAAAAACGAAGTTTCAACTATCATATTAGGGGACTTAAACTATCCGAAAATTAATTGGCAGGAGTTTGCATTTCCTAAAGATAAACAGAGCTTATATTTTTACAATACTATGAATGAACTAAATCTAAATCAGATAATAAAAGGAGCAACAATGTACAATAATGACCATACACTAGACCTGGTTCTCCAAAACAAACAATTAGTCGAAAACTATAAAATTGAGAGTAATTTAATTTTAAGTGATCACAAACCTATAGTATTCGAGTTAGTCTTCCCAATTGAAAAAATAACATCTAGGGAAAAAAGGAAAGTATTATTATTTAAAAAAGGAAAATATAAGGCAATCAATTGGTATCTAGCACAATATGACTGGTATAACTTATTAAATAATAAAAATCCTTCAGAAATAACTGAAATACTAAATAACATAATGACACAAGCAATACAAAAATTCGTACCTTTTAAAAAATTTGGTGAAAAAATACCCATAAAATACCCCAAAGAAATTAGAGAAACCATCAAACAAAAGTCCCTTGAATGGAAAAAGTTAAAATTAGGAGAAATTAGCCGGGATGAATATAAAAGTTTCGAAATTAAATGTAAATTGAAAACTCAAAAATATAGAAACGATTATCTATCAAAAAAGATAGGATCAGGCCACATAGGGGAGATACATAAATTAATTAAAAGGAAAAAATTTAACTTCTCTGGTATACCAATACTTAAAGAATCTGAGGAAAGTGAACCTATAGTATATGACACTGACAAAGCTAGAAAATTAAAACTATTTTCGAAGAAGTCGTTAGCGGAGATACAAGCCATAAACATGTAAGCTTTGATGCTGAAGATGCATATAGGGGTGGTGAAAATATTTTTGAACCATATATTATAGAAAAATTACTCAAAAAGCTCCCAAATAAATTGTCTCACAGCCCTGAAATTGCTAATCAATATTTTCTTAAAAAATGTGCTACACCACTAGCTCTTCCTCTATCAATCTTATTTGAGAAGACATTTAAGACAGGAATTGTTCCTGAATTATGGAAAATGGCACATATTCTGCCTATATTTAAAAAAAATGGTTCATTGAATGACCCTACAAATTATAGACCAATTGCTTTAACATCCCCTACTTGTAGAGTTTTTGAGCGCATTATAGCAAATAATATCTTAGAACACCTTAACAAACAAAAATTAATCGCAGAAGAGCAATTTGGATTTTTACCTAAAAGCTCTTGTACACTTCAAATCTTGTCATCGATGCAAGACTGGTATAGTTCACTTGACAGGAAAATAGGTACAGATGTTATATATTTTGACTTTGAGAAAGCCTTTGATAAAGTAAACCACGAAATACTAATTAGAAAATTGCAAGAATTAAAAATAGATCGATTAATAATTCAATGGGTAGCGAATTTTCTCTCAAATCGATCACATAGTGTAAAAATAGAAGAACATTTTTCCGAACCATTTATCCCAAAAACAGGAGTCCCACAAGGGACGGTCTTAGGTCCATTACTTTTCTTAATTTATATAAATGACCTTCCAAAATATATTCCACAAAATGTTAAAGTAAAACTTTATGCGGACGATTTTAAGATTTATTCAGAAATTAAGACGGAAAAGGACTGTATAGAGTTACAGGGGGCTATAGACAATGCGTGTAAATGGGCAGAAATGAATCAACTTAAATTCTCTATAGCAAAAGTAAAGGTTTTAAAAATATACAACAAAATTAAGTTTAACTATGAGATAAATGGTAAAAAAATCGAAGAGGTTAATAACATAAGAGATCTAGGGATATACATAGATAACAAGCTAAAGTTTGATCATCATATATCAAAAATTACTAAATCCTCATTTATAAGAATTAACAATATCCTAGGAATATTACCAAAAACATTACCAATAGAAACATATGTAAAGGCATTCAAAACATACGTAAGACCAATTATGGAGTATTCCACCGAAAATTTTAGCCCCAAATTAGAATATCTTAATAAACAATTAGAAAGACCACAAAAAAGCTTTACAAGGAGAATTTTAAGATATAAATACAAATACCAGAAAATAGAATATAACGAAAGACTAAAAAGATGCAAACTCCTTCCCTCCAATCTCCGTCGTATAAAAACTGATCTTATGACAACCTACAAAATAATCATGGGTTTCTATAAAATAAATCCAGAAAAAATATTTTCAAAACCTAATAGAATTAATCCGCGCTTACATAAATATCAGCTATTTAAAAAGCAAGCCAAAAATAATCATTTCTTTTCACATAGAGTCATAGATAGATGGAATAAACTTCCAAAAAAAGAAATTGAGAAAATCAATACTATACCGCAATTTAAAAAATTTTTAGACAAAATATTAACTACAGAAGATTATAATTTATGAGTATGAATTAATGGAGTGTATTAACATAAAATCTTAACCCAAATGTTCACTTTCTTATCAAAACAAGTTTACTTAACATTTAAATAAAATTACCTGTGTTCAATACAAATATTTTTTTATACACCTAAATATACCTACATATATTTTTTATAACATTTTAATTTCATACATTTAATTTATTTTTTTTTCTGTGGAGTCCATTATTTATTTTTTTTCTAACTTATCATTTTTTTTTTAAAAATCTGTCATATTGTATTTGATTTTTTTTGTACGTTACCTCTCCATAAGTGATCCCTGTGGATCCAGGAGTTTTTATTTTATTGTTTCACACTTATTTATTTGTGTTCGATAAAGAAAAAAAAAAAAAAATTTACTTCAAATTCATCATATTCAATAATTAATTTATTGTTGAAACAAAAATAAAATTTAAATAATAAATAAAAAATAATTATTGTTAGCATTTTTTATTTAAAATAATTTTATGTAAAAATAGTTTTTCGTTTAAATAAATATGACGAATGATTAAATTAATTTTAAAATTAAAAATATTTGTTGTGAGAAAAATATTTTTTAAAATTAATGTGAAAATACTTTTTGTCAATAATTAATTTCATAATTAATTTTGAAAATATTTAAATTTAAAAATTAAGAAATAAATAAATAAATAAATGTGAATATATGTACTTTAATTAGTAAATAAAATTAATTGTTTTTAATTTTGAATTAATTTGAAGATTCTGAAGGCTCGAATTTTTATGAAAATCTAAATAAATAACAAATAATGAATAGATATGTATAATTATGAGAAATATCATAATTTGACAGAAAATATTCACCACTACCAAGCTATTTCAATAAATATATTTTATTTTGTTATTATAATAGCAAGGTCACCACCAATTTATTAAAAAAAGAATTCCCATAATTGAGCATTTTCATTTCCTTAGATCGATTTATTGCGCATTGTTTAAACGAAAAAAATTGTTTAAAAAATTGTTTTTAATTTTCTCCAAATGAAATATATTAATTTAATCCTTTTTCTTCGAGTTTTTAATATTTTATTAATTACATGTTTACTTCTTCAATTAAATAATATTTTTGATCAAATTAGCAGATGGAGGGAATATTGGAAAATAAAAAGGGTTGAAAAACTAGAGAATTATGATAAAAAGTATTTAATTTAGTTTTTTTTAATTTCAAAATAAATAAAAATTAAAAACAGAAATTGAAAGAAATTTATATTTTTGAAGGTTAAAGGCTAAATTTAAAATTTATTTTCCCTATCTAAATTAAATGATTGGTAATTCCAAATAATTTTATTTAATATTTAATTATCTCCCTTTTAATTTAATAATTTTGTAATTTAATTCATTAAATTCACTGGCAAATAATTTACATTTAAACTTTTAATTTTAAAAATCAGAATTCTGTCAGATCAACCATTATATACTCCAAACCCTGCAGGAACACTTGAATTAGAATCAATTCGATTAAACGAACTTTTTGCTAGGCCAACACATAAATGTTTAGATAGAAGAACATTGGGAGGATATAGAGATTCTTTCTTTGTTTGTTTTGATGAAGATATGGGCATACTAAATGAAAAATTCGAGTAAAGTTTGAAAATTATATTTTGAGTTTTAAATAAATTTTAATTTATTTTTTGAATAAATACCTAATTATTAGATGGGGTGTTTATTTAATATAAAATTTCCATAATTCAACCATACTATTATAATAGTTTCACTATTTGGGAGAAAAATTATTTTTAATTTAAGGAATGGATTATCAATAAATGGCCAAAAAATAACAAAAGAAGATGAAAATTTTGAGATTTCGCTAAATATAACTAGCTGGACTTTATTACTTCCTCAAAAAAATAACCTTGTTGAAAATCTACAAAATAATGTTTTTATTCAATATATGCCAGAATTGGAGGAAGAAGGGCATTTCCCTGAAGATAGAATAGCTGCAATGTTGGATAATGATAATCAAATATTTAATTTGGCAAAAATTGATTTGGATACTGAATTGTTGAGTGATAAGAGAAAAGAAACGAAAGTTAGAATTGAATTGCTAAATTGGATTTTAAGAGTAAGTTATTTTAACTTAGATATCTGAACACTTCTTTTCCCGCATATAATAAACTTACATTATTAATTCTCCCCGAACAGCTTGGGCGGTAAAACATTTCCATTTGTTTTGACTTTCAAAAAAAATATGGTAAAGGATAGAGCAATTTTCCCTTCTTGATAAGCTGAATACTAATTAATTATTCATAAATTAGCTCAACATTTTCCATATTATTTTCTCTCAACTACCTAATTTTCAAATAAATAAAATACTATTTTATTTAATTTTAACAAAATAAATATTATTTTCAAAAGATCTTAAGGACAAAGCAATTATTAGTTGTTCTAAGACCGGGACTTGATAATTCTTCTCTTCAAGACGAAAATGTGAATGTTTTACTTTTGTGGTATAGATTTATTTATTCACTTTTCTTTCAATGGAAATATGCTTTACTTGGTGATTTTCTTGACAAATATTTTTTAATTAATTAATTTAGGGGCACGATCAAATAGTCGTTGTGGTCAGGCATTACAGAAATTTGACCCTAGGCATTGTGAATGGAGACTGAGTTTTGTTCATTTTGAAGATTTATGGTCAGCTAATGATGTTCCCGCTTATGGAGCTGGTTAATATAAAAATTATGAAAAAATAAAATTTAAATGTTATATTAATTAATTACATAGGTATTTATAATGGGTATGATTATGGTCAGATGCCGTTTTTAATTAGAGCCGACTTTCGAGATTTTTTTCTAGATAGTTAATAGCGAATCGGGTTTTGATTTATCAATGTATGTCTGTTCATTTCAAGCTTAATCATTGATTAAGCTCATTCCAAGTCTCGAGTATCGAGTAATCTTACAACCCAAAGCATGAGGACATTTAGTAAAAATAATAAATTAAAAAGATTTCTTCTTTAATTAATAAAATTTTAAATAAAATAAAAAATATTATATTTTTCTAGGTTCTCCTCTAGAAGAAAAATTACGTTTTTTACGTTATTTACTTAGCCGTCAAACATTACCACTATCATCCCTTTGTTTTTACAATTCTTTAAATAATAACAACGATAATTTTCTTCCCTTTCCAATTTGTCAAGAATTAATTAAAGAAGAAGAAAAACCTTTATTTAATTTATTTGTTTATTTTCGATATAAATATTTTTCTAATGAAGAATTAAATCAACTTGAAAATTTATTAGAATTAACAGAGGAAATGGCTATATTCTTTCCAGAGATTTTTAAAGGAGAAAAGTAAAAGGAGAAAATTTTAAAAAAATTAATTATAATTTTTTAGTTCAATTTTTAAAAACAAAAAATTAACATTTTTCAATGAGGGAATATCTCATTATTTGAATAAATCTATGAGGATGCCTTTAAATATTAGAGGTTAATTTAGTATTATTTAATTATCACCCTGTGTTCTCTTTATTTCCATTGTCTTGTGGATATTAAAAATATTCTTTTGTTTATACTTAAAATTGAAAAATCTCACCTCCTCACCCTGACAATTTTCAATTTTTTAAAGGAAAAAAGAACGAATAAAAGGAAATATTGGGAGATATCCACTAAATGTGCATACCTTTTTTACTTAAAAATTATTTTTTTAAAGATAATTCTACCAATTCAACAATATATTTAAATTTAACCCCTTTCAATGATTTATTAAAAGAAATTCAAATATTCCCTTACAAAAGAAATATTCTCTTTTTTGATATTGACGGTGCTGAATGGGATATATTTGGAGTTATTTTGAATAAAACATTTTGTGATAAATGGCTCAGAAGTTTTAAACAAATTTGTTTAAAAATAAGGTAAATTTAAAGTTTGATTTTTCTAAAATTGAGAGAATTGGGGGGGGGGGGGCTTTATTTTAGGTAAAGTGTTATGTATAATATCTACAAAGAAAAACAGCCTCGATATAGAAACTAGTGTTTCACTGGAACCGGATCCAATTTGATTCCAGATCCCGGAACCAAAACCACTCTCTGGAACCGAAACTTTCAGTGAAACTCAATTAGAAACCTGTCGATTTAACAAACTTTTTCAATAACCCCTTTATATCGAGATTTTATATCAATATTTTCTCTAAAAAATTTTTCCAATGAAAGAAAAACTTTATTTTCTATTTTTATTTTTCCTCCATTTATTTTATACAATAATTAATCCCAAAAACAAATTTATTGAATAAAGCTTTTACTTTAATAAATAATTGCCTTTATTCTAATAAATAAATATTATTTTAAATAGAAAAAAATGAGAAATTTTTGTTTTAATTTTTTAATTATTTTTATTTTATTTTTAACAATTTTTTGTATTTTTGCATTTATTTTTACAATTTTTTTGAAAGAAAATTTAAATTAATTTAAATGTATTAATTATTTAATTTTAATTATTTAATTAATTCTTTTATTTTTTTAAAGAATTTGGGGAATGGAAGAAAGTGAAAATTGGAGAAGATTTTACCTTTGGCTTTTGCGAATAGAAGAATGTGAATTTAAAAAAACTTTTAGTTATCAAATAAATCAATCAACATTTCTAATTGTATATACTCGAAAACAAATTGTTGGTAGATAAATAAATAAATTAAAAAATTTTATTGAAAATTTATGAAATATATATAATCTAGAATAGGTAATCTGGGTAACCAATTTTAAGAAAATATATTTTAATTAATAATGTAAAATTTTTGAATTTCGAATCTCAGAGGAAGAGTTGGTGGGCAGAGGTCGATCGGAAATGACGAAGGTGCCGGAAGTCGGAAATGGCTCAAAAGTCGGAAATCAGCATAAATTTTCGGAAATCGGAAGGAAAAAACGTCGGAAATCGGAATTCCGATCGACCTCTGTTGGTGGGTATGAAAATAAAAGGAGCTCAGAATTCCATTAATTTTTATTTAAACGTGGTGGTGCTGTTAAAGGATGATTGTTGTTATTCTTTTTTTCATTTCCATGCCATGCTTTAATCATTCTATTAGCCATTGCTACATTAATTATTTTAACTTTTGTTTTTTCATCTTCCATGAGAGATTTCTTCTACAAAAAAAATTACAAAAAATTTTTTACAAAATTTCTTTTACCTCTCCAAAGAGAAATCTTCTTAAAAGTAAAATAATACATCTTCTATAATGTTTAACAACCATTAAACTAACAAAAGGATTTAACATTGGAGCCCAATTTAAAGGAAGTGTAACAAATAATTGTAATGTAAGAAATATTGTTCCCATTAAATCAGAAGAAAAAAATATAGAAATAACAGCCAACGAACTTATTAATAAAGGAAATGCTGGCAAAATAGCCTGGAAATTTTAATTTTTCTCTATTCTTCCGAATATTTTTTTAAAACCTGAATAAGAAGAGTTCTAGTAATTTGTCCATTTAATTCCCCCGAACGTTTAGATATCTCCATATGTGCCATTTGTTCAGTAATTGCTTTTCTAATTTTTGCAGCACAATAAAAAATTATTAGATAAAGGGCGCTATTGTATAACAAAAATAAAACAACCCAACTTAGAGCAATTGGATTTTTCTTTAAAAGAATATCGAAAATATTTTTCGAAAATTTAAATTACCAAATCCATATTCAAAGCAACAGGCCATTTTCCATCTTGTGTAGGCCCAAAACCTAAAATTAAAGTAACTTTTCCATCTTCTAAAAATTCATTTTCAACAGATGGATAAGTACAACTTAACAATATTGCTACAGGAAGTTGAAAAATAAATGCAGCCAACAACATGCAAAAATAGTTTTTTGAAGTTATATGAATGTCTCTTAAAAATTATTTTTGTTAAAAAAATTTTTTTTAATTTTTTAAGTTTCTTTAACTACTAATTTCTATAATATCGTAAATCCTCTATTATACTAGCTGGGATGTGCCACTTCATTTCAAAGACACATAGGTATTTTTTAACGAACGTGGAAAGCTAACTTATAATTTCTATGATTGAAGAATTTTGATGGCACTTTATTAAAGTTTAGAGGATTTACTGTGTATGAAGTATCTATTCCTTCTTTTTTTACAATTGTAATGTGAAATAAATATACAGATAGAACTAAAGACAATTAAACAAATAAGAATAACTACTAGACAATAGATTGTCTCTATTTTTATAATGGCATAAACTATAAATTATTGCCAATTTGACAAATTCCATAGATCAGAGTCAGTGAAATGTTTAAAAATAGGGTTTAAAAAGTATTTACTTGCAAAGAATTAAATATCTGTATACAAATTGAATTCCAAGTCCAATCAGTGAAAAATAAAATATTATAAACCAAACCATAAAAACAAAATGATAAAAAGGGTTAGGCAAAAAACTTAATTGTCCAATCATTATATCTTTAGCAACTCCATTTTGAACAAAAAATATCTAAGAATTTAATTTTAAATTTAAAAAATAAATTTAATTAACCGGTTGGACTAACTCTCCCATAATTAATAAAAGAATATCTATAATACATGTTTGTAATAATATTTGGCTATAAATTTGTTTTTCTTTTGGTGTTTGTTTGAAAATAAGCCAAATTAAAAGTATATTTAATGAAACACCGATGAAAAGACAAAATAATGAATTAATATGATGAGCCAAAATGAGGGCAGAAATCATTTTATTATCAGTTAATTTAAATTTTCTAAAAGTAGCGAGAAAGTTTCTAAATCTTCCTATTATTTTTCTAAATAAAATTAAAATGGCAACACTGACTAATTCTTCAACAAGAAAGCGCTCTAAAAACAGTGTATCAGAAATCGATTCTTCTGATAGACTGGCTGAAATTCAGACAAAATTGACAACAGCTGGTATTTCTATTTCCCCATCGAATTCTAATCCTGATTTAATTTCGACAATTAATCTATTAGTAACTCTTGTGATACAACAGACAAAGCAAATTTCGACCCTACAAGAATCACTTATTAAAATTGAGCAACATCTAAGCACCAAAAATTCCGATTCACCGCCCGAGGATAAGGAAAAAAGCCGCTCGATTGTGGTTGTAGGCGTTCCTGAGTCTGAGGGTCGGAATGATAGGGAAAAATTTGTTAATGATAAAAAAACCATAAACAACATTATTGATTCGTTGGGAATTCCTGCTGACCCTGTAACAATTTATCGAATGGGAAAACAACGGACTGACAACAAGGGCCGACCACTTAAAGTTATTATGCCGTCCTCTTTCCATCAACGACTAGTTCTCGCTCGTGCAAAATCTCTTCGGTCATCACCTTCCCTTTCTAATATTTTTATTCGCCCATCACAAACTAGAGAGGAACGACAAAAAGAATTTGAACTGAGAAAAGAATGCCGTGAGAGAAATAATGCTCTTAAAGAAGGTGAACCACCTTGGAAAATCTATAAAGGGAAAATAGTTAGGGCTTTTAACCACGATTCTTTTTAAAATTATCACATGGACCACTAGCAAAATGTTTATATTTCAATGCAAGATCTATTAAAAATAAACTTACAGATTTACATTTCATATTAGCCTCATTTAAATATCAAATAATTTTAATAACAGAAACGTGGTTAACCTCAGAATTTTCCGACACTTTATTAATTAACGACTTACCATATAAAATTTTTAGAACTGATAGACCAAAAAGGGGTGGAGGTGTGGCCATAATTCTATCTAATATTTTTTCAGTCAGTAACATAAAGTTACAAAAAAATCGATTTAATTTTGACATTTTATGTATTGATCTTACAGACTGTTTAGGAGAAAAAATCCGGCTGATTAACATTTACGTACCCCCCAAAACTTCAGATAAACAATTTACAGATTTAATATATATTCTTGGAAATCTAATATCTGTTCCCTATTCTGTTGTTATATCTGGGGATTTTAATCTCCCAAATATTAACTGGTCTGAAAATCAATCGGAAAATAACCATACTTTTAAAGAATTAGTAGTTAGTCCAACCCCCGAGTCGTCAGGGGCAGAGGGGTCCGCAACATTAATCCCTAATTAATTCCATGTAATTAGTCAACTAATTAAAGTCAACCTAAAGGTTTAGGGGCATCTCATACCATCCCAAGGGGTCTTATCACAGATAACTGATATAAGAATATGTAATTAATCCCTAATTAGCTCCATGTAATTAACCAATTAATTAAGCCCATCCTAAAGGTTTAGGGACATCCTTATCAACCCAAGGGGTCTTATCAGTGATAACTGATATAAGAAAAAGTGTTCCATGTAATTACCCTTATTTCCATGTAATTAGTCCCTAAGTAAAAGCATGTAATTAGTCCACTAATTAGGAATATCCGGTACCGAACCTATCAAACCACAAGGTTTAGGTCCCTTTCCCATAAAAAATTAAAAATATTTATTTTTTCCTTTTCAAAAATTTTCCCTTAATTTTTCTATTGTATTTTTTCGCGCAGCGTGCGTGTAGTTTTCTTTTAAGTTTTTAAGTCATCTTAAAAACTTTTCCTTTCTTTGGAATTTTTTTAAATTTTCCTTTTGTATTTTTGTTCGCGCAGTGTGCGAACATCTTTATTTTTTAAAATTTTCTTTTGTAAATTTGTAGGTCAACTTAAAACTTTTCCTTTTTCTTTTGTATTTTCTTATGAAATTTTTAAAAATATTAAGGTCATCTTAAAATTTTTTCCTTTTTCTTTCAATTTTTAAATCTTTTCTTTTGAATTTTTAAAAGTTCTGGGTCGTCTTAAAAAATTTCCCTTTTCTTAAAAAATTTCAACTTTCTTTTCAATTCCGGTCAGCCTGACCTAAATATTTCTTCTGTGAACAAAAGAGATTAAAAATTTATTGTATAAAATTTTTTGGATAGAAAAGAAAATAAAGGATTAAATAGTTAAA